ATTTCTGGCTAGGTTAGGAGGTCGGATTTTTGACGGAGAGACAAATCCAGACAATTGGCTGGTTTAACATCGTAAAGATGAACAAGAATATTCCTTTTTTTGGTTTTAAATGTCAAGAGAAACTTTAGCATGGTTCTTAACAAAATTGGTCACGCAAATGACCAATTCAACCACTAACTTACCCCCACTAACTTACCCGAACTTAATAAGGCGCAAACAATCGTTAGTTGCAACCTTACGGGGCTATTCATGCCCGTGCCACCTCTTGGGTGGCTTAATCTTGATCAATCAGTTGCAATCAGTCTTCAGAAATCCCTCCCAACCCCCCTTTGGCGTTGTGTTTCAAGCGAGCTTGTCAATTTACATCAATTGAATCAATCTAATAAATTTGGGTAAATGTATTCGATATGTCTTTCTTTCCCGATGTTTTGTAACCGAGGGAGACGCAGACTAACTAGTGAAAATGATAGGCATTTTATTAAGGCACTACGGGCTCACCATAGCCCGTGTTACTTGGAACTGTTTGTTCTATGTAGCGAATCTTTAACAACAACATATTAAATATTAGCAGGAGGGCTTCATATTATTTATATAAAGAATTGTAATTTAAAACTAAATATGTGCAATGGGCTAGATTTCGGCTGTAAAATATCTCGTCATATTTCCGATAGGCATCGTATTTTGAAAACTGCAGGTATTTAGGCAAAATTTGACCAATCGCAGTTTTCACTAATTTGCATATTATCGGTATAAAAAGCCATAATTTAAAACTCCAAATATGTGCAATGAGCCAGAATTCGGCTCAAAAATAACGCTCAAGAGTCTTATCTCCGATAAGCATCGTATTTTGAAAATTTCATGTAAATTTGGGCAAAATCTGACCAATCGCCATTTTCACTAATTTGCATATTTTCGGCATAAAAAGTCGTAATTTAAAACTCCAAATATATATTATATAGTATTCAAAACCCTTTTTTCAATCCGGGCGAGACAGAAATGGTTGGGCACGTTTCCGTTCTCCTAATACCTCTGTTCACCTAGCAGTATATAGGTACCCAGGAGTTAGACAACTGTTGTGGGTTGCATCCTGTGGAGGCTCAGTAGTTCCATCTAGGGGAGGGGCATACAATAACAAAAACTAGTTATTATTAATTATATAGAAAGAAGTTTGTATACATTGCAAACTATTAGGTTACTATGGAAACCAAGCAAGATGAGGGCAGTTTTATTTCTACCACAGACGTGGCCAGACATTTACAATGCTAACCAGCATATATACATTTTCTTCTGACCTCCATGGACAGGGTGAGAGATCTGTTAAACATATAGTTCAGTGATTTATTGAACAATCAACCACAGAAGGTGATTGTAGTGCTTTTAAAATGCTAACCTAACCTTCAAACATGAATACATAGATACACATATTTACGTCTGCCCTACATAAACAATGTTCGAGGTATCTTAAATGTGACTAGCTGCCACCCCCTCCCCCTTCTCAGCCACACATCTCAGAGGGCAAAAGACTGACAAACAGGTGACTGTCAGAGTGACAGTCACTTACTACAGTCTAAGACCCTGAGTGTTGCTAGGCTACTTGCTCAAGTAACCCTCAGGAACCACTGGAAATCGTTCCCTTTCGCTCAGATATTTAGATTCTGCATTTGTGAATCTGTTTCACCGGTGGGATCGTGACTTACAGTTTTGAAACTGCTTATCGGTCGCGTTTGTCGATCTTGCACACACACAATGTCGTGTGATTCGTCAAGGTTCGCTCTGCATGTCTTCATTTTTTTCACCCACTTGGCCTGGACGGTAGAGCGACGGTCTCGCTTCATGCAGGTCAGCGTTCAATCCCTGATTGTCTACAAGTGGTTGGGGCACCATTCCTTTCTCCCCGTCCCATCACAAATGCTTATCCTGACCCCTTCCCAGTGCTATATAGTCGTAATGGCTTGGCGCTTCCCCCTTCCATTTCAGATGTGGATTATCCAGCAACTATATTTATATAAATAAAATAATGGAAATGTTTCCATGTTTTCCTTTTAATTTGTTGAATGATATATATACCCGACGATTTGACACGTTTTCTATCTATCATATTTAGAGGGCAAGCATATATTGAAATATATATATTTACTGAAGGACAATTATACCGCCTGAAAGTCCGATATGAGAAAACAGTGAGACCATAGAATGGGATCGAACCCGCTTCCCTAGGCTTCTCCACATATATATTTGCTGTAAATGTATAAAATAATATATAATAACCTGAGGGTTATGAAATAATAACCCTTAGTGACTGCTGTTTCCGCCAAGACAAGTATCGGCGATAGTCTCGTTTCGTGGAATGCGGAAGACGAAGTAAAATGGAGCCTTGTACGGGCGGAAAATAGCGTGAAAACTCCACATTATCTCAGACATTATACCTGAAATACACACACATCATTGTACTCACGGACGTGTTTGCTTGCGGGAAGGACACACACACACATGCACACACACACACACACACACACACACACACACACACACACACACACACACACACACACACACACACTTTCGCAAACAGAGTGGTAGACGGTTGGAACAAGTTAGGTGAGAAGGTGGTGGAGGCCAAGACCGTCAGTAGTTTCAAAGCGTTATATGACAAAGAGTGTTGGGAAGACGGAACACCACGAGCGTAGCTCTCATCCTGTAACTACACTTAGGTAATTACACACACACACACACACACACACACACACACACACACCTATATGTGTGCTTTAGAGATGAAATCATCAAAGTTGTCTACAGCGCCTCAACATAGGGTGCTGTTCTTGAACCCATTAGGCTATACAGACAGACCAACTGATGTATGCATTAATCTATGTAACTATAACTTGTCACGAATGTCTATGGCTTAGTTAAATGAATTTTAGGGTTCAGTTCCTGAACCTTTTATATTTTCCAATACTGGCCACGGGAAGGGTATGGTGTCCACTACCCCTCACGGGAAGGGTATGGTGTCCACTACCCCTCACGGGAAGGGTATGGTGTCCACTACCCCTCACGGGAAGGGTATGGTGTCCACTACCCCTCACGGGAAGAGTATGGTGTCCACTACCCCTCACGGGAAGGGTATGGTGTCCACTACCCCTCACGGGAAGGGTATGGTGTCCACTACCCCTCACGGGAAGGGTATGGTGTCCACTACCCCTCACGGGAAGGGTATGGTGTCCACTACCCCTCACGGGAAGGGTATGGTGTCCACTACCCCTCACGGGATGGGTATAGTGTTCACTATCCTTCACGGGATGGACATGCATTAAAACTCCCAGTTTTTATGTATATGAAAAATACCAAACACTTGGAAATATAGTTAATGAGGGCGTGCCGAATTGCGGTACGTAGCCTAATAATGAACGTAGCTTTGCAAAGCATCTTCCGTGCAAAATGACAATTTTGTGCGGCTTAGTACGCGTAATTCACTGTCTAAACTGATAGTTGGTTAATGTTTGTGTTGTAACTATAACCTGAGCTTGTCACACCATCTTAATCACCTTCAGTGGTCAAGTGCTTAATTGCTGCTATAGAAACACACTAGTTTCTATAGCAACTATCGTAGCCTGTCAGAGTATGTATGTATATATGTATGTATGTATGTATGTATGTATGTATGTATGTATGTATGTATGTATGTATGTATGTATGTATGTATGTGTATACAGGATATGTGTAAGCTGGTCAAAATTGCGGTATTAAAAGCACTACAATCATCTTTTCAATAAATCACTGAACTATATGCTTAACAGATCTCTAACCCTGTCCATGGAGGACAGAAGAAGGTTAAAATATATGCTGATTTGCATTGTAAATGTGTGGTCACGTCTGTGGTAGAAAAATAATAATAATAAAAATCCATTCCCAAACGTTCCCACAAAACTGAATTAAACGCAGTGCAGGAAAATTTATTGCTTTTTCAACCATGACACAATACACACTTTCCTAAGACGCTGTTCACTTTCCCTATCTATACACCAAATCACCTTCTTTAAAATTGCGAATTTTGTGGACTATATTCAATCAATGAGAGAGAAAAGTGGCCTCAAATGCCCAAAATATCGCCAAGTTACAGCTGAAAAATCAAGTTTTCTGTAACGTTAACAGTGTGTTGATTTTACACTGCACTTTACGTTCATTTAAAAGAAAAAAATACACATACACTCCAAGCTATGAACTGTATTCGGTGTATTTAAGAATTAATCACGAATGATACACAATCAATCGTGATTATGTCTCAGGCAATTTGTCCAGATTGGAATAAATTTCTCCAGATTGGAATTTGTTTATTAATGCTAATATATCGATCTATATAAAAGTCCGACAGAACGTTAACAATCGATCACATTACAAATTTCGTTTAGACTTAAAGCGTAAACTTATTCTGGAAATTCTTGCATGTTTTCGAAATTATAATACTTTTATCAAATCTAAAATTGTAACATTTTATGTGTACGGGTTTCTGGCCGATAAGACTCAAAGAGTTAAGTGTTTTTTTATACTTATTTAGTATAGTCTTGGTTACAAGAGTATCGTAGTAGCTAAGACGAGGAATTGTATTTACTTTGAATGGTTACAGTACTTACGTGAAGACTATCCTTTGCTAGGCTTTATCTTTGCTAGGCTTTATCTTTACTAGGCTTTATCTTTACTAGGCTTTATCTTTACTAGGCTTTATCTTTACTAGGGTTTATTGCTATCTACACAAACATGTGGAAATCACAATACAAGGCGTTCAGCTATCAAGAGTGGTGCAATCTCTATCATCCTGATAGCTGATAGGATGAGATAATAGGCTACAGGATGATAGCTAATAGCAATCAGCTATCATCCTAGTGGTGCAATTCTCAAAAGTACTAGTAACTAGGAGTGTCTCTGGACATTTGTATGGATTGTGTTATATATTATAGATTGTAAATCAAAATCATTGTTACAAATTTAGACATTTTATTCGCTTATAAACCTAGTAAAAGTTAATGGGGTGTGGCTGAGTACTTATCAACTCGAGGACAGATGGTCTCATAGGTCTTGTGGGGTCTTCGAGATGGATTCAGACCACTTTGGCCAGCTGACTGGATCTTCAGAAGCCGTAGCTATTGGAGGCTTGGGGCAGACTTGATCTTGTAGGTCTGCTGGGGTCTTGGTGACGTAGTGAGACCAGTTGGGTCCGCTGGCTGACCGGGTCTTCAGTAGCCGTAGGAGGGCTTGGGGCAGACCGTCTTGTAGGTCTGCTCGGTCTTGGTGATCGTGTGGTACTCTGGGACCACTTGGGTCTGGTAATGGGTCTTGTACTGCACCTCGGTCTTGGTGACGTACTTGGGGACGTATTCGGTCTTGTACACGGTCTGGTACTGGGTTTCTGTAATATATTTAGTTTGGTATTGGGTCTGAGTGATGTACTGGGGGACATACTCGGTCTTGGTGACGTATTGGGTCTGGTACTGGGTCTGGTATTTGGTTACGTACTGGGTCTGGTACTGGACTTGGGTCTTGTAGACGGTCTCGGTGACGTACTTGGGAACGTACTGGGTCTCGTACTTGGTCACGTACTGGGTCTGGTACTGGGTCTGGTAGTGTGTGGTGGGGACGACCTGGGTCTTGTACACAGTCTTATACACAGGTACCTGCAAGAGTAACATTTTGATAAAATAACAAATACAAATAATATTGAATTTGAGTTAAATCTATCATAAGATCTATAGGTACATATAATCAATGTCCTCAGCCCTACTTTCTTCTTTCATGTATACGGAGAATGTCGAATTTTAAAATGGATTTAGTTTGAGGCTTTCATGATATTTCAGGAAACAATTTTGCGTAGTTTGGTTCAGACCTGCTGGACCTGCCCCAGTACTGACCTGCTGGACCTGCCCCAGTACTGACCTGCTGGACCTGCCCCAGTACTGACCTGCTGGACCTGCCCCAGTACTGACCTGCTGGACCTGCCCCAGTACTGACCTGCTGGACCTGCCCCAGTACTGACCTGCTGGACCTGCCCCAGTACTGACCTGCTGGACCTGCCCCAGTACTGACCTGCTGGACCTGCCCCAGTACTGACCTGCTGGACCTGCCCCAGTACTGACCTGCCCCGGTACTGACCTGTTGGACCTGCGTCTGGTAATGGGTGACGTACTGGGTCTTGGGGTAGCAGGGGGCGGGTTGGGGGTAGCTGGGGTCAGCCCCCACCGCTGCCACCACACCCAACACCACCACAAACAAACTCCAACACATCATCTGGAGAGAGAAATCTCTTGCATTGTGGTATATGTTCAGGAAATATATATTGCACTTAAATTTACCTCCCTTTAATCTCTACCTCCTTCCCCTCAGCCTCACACGTTTCAAATGATTTTGTTTAGATTCGAGCTCTGGCGGGGAGGATTGACTAGGTGCCAGTTCTTAGTTGTACTTGCTAATTGGGACCTGGTTGTAAATCGATTGATGCTAGTAGGGTAAGGAAAGCTCTCAGCCTAGTAGGGAAAAAAGGGAAAACCGATGCATATGATATTGAACATATATGAATGGTGATTTAATTTAATGATTACTTGGCAACAATGATTTAGAAAAACAGAATTTAACCAGAAATTGCAAAATGTGAACATGAAGATACGAAAAAAATGGGCGTTTTAATATAATTTCAAAGTCATAAGACAATGACTAAGACTTAGTCCAAGCTGTCAGTGGTCTTACGGATTTATCTGCACGAGAGACCTGGAAGGACTGGAGAGATGTTGTCGCTATAAGCTTGAGCACAAGACTGATGTCGGAACAGCAGCGATTCATCTATTTATAAGGCTTGCATTCCTGTTTGGTCATCGACTTGAGTGTTGTCATATCCCCCCAACGCCCTCAGCGCCTGGCTGGGACCATCACTTGCTCAGGTAACGTGCTGGTGCTGAATCTTACCTGCAGGCTTGGATTCAATTGTTTGTGCAACCTCTTACGAAACCTGTGCATCTTTCCTCAATCATGGCGGCTTTGTTTGCTTGTATTAAACAGTTTATGAGCTGCGAAGCATTACGAGGTTGTTTATAACAATAATAACCTCGGGTTGTACAGTTTACAAGCTCGTAAACTGTTTAATAACTGTAAACAAAGCCGCCATGATTAAGGGAAGATGTATAGGTTTCGTAAGTGGCGGTGCAAATGTTTGATGAATTCTCACCCAGTACTTACCTAACAGTGACTATAGAGGAGTGAGGTCTGGCTCTGACGGTCGAATTCTTTGTTCAATCTGGCCTTAAATTGTGAATGTTGGGGTGTAATTGAAGCCTAAATATGACATAATTAACCCTAGCTTCCCTAACCTAATCTAACCTATTGACTTATCTAACCTACCCTGCTTACCTCTACACACTTAAATTATCCCAAACAAAACTTGAACCCAATTAAACTACAAGCCTAGTCAAGTCACCCCGAACTTAGGCTTCAGTCTTTCCCATATCTAAGCCGCCCGGCCTTAATACAAACTTAATTAACTTTACAGCATGTATGTTCCGTGTATATAAGAACGTGTGGCTGGAGGTTTTGTTGCATTTGTCGTGTGATTATGTCCAAACACTCAGGTCTGATAGGAGAGAAATTACTGACTACCAACGACCTAACAGCAACAGTATAAAAAGCTAGGATTTGTTCAGATCCAAAACCTATGTTTATGGGCAAAACAAAACGTCGACCAGACTGTGCGACACAGTGGTTGCCAGGATCAAGTTGGGTTACCGTTACCTGTGGCAGGTGGCAACCGTTACCTGTGGCAGGTGGCTACCGTTACCTGTGGCAGGTGGCTACCGTTACCTGTGGCAGGTGGCTACCGTTACCTGTGGCAGGTGGCTACCGTTACCTGTGGCAGGTGGCTACAAGTGACGGATCTCCCAATCCTCAGCACTCCAGGTGCAAACTCTGTGAACAGGAACTGGGACATGATTCATCATTCTTGACACTACATCGCCGAATGCCGAGTTATCAGACCATTCAGACCCATTGGCATATATGGTATCTGGAGCTTTGTAATTACTTTATTCACTCTCGTGTTCTTGATGATATCCTCATATTGCATCCAAAATTTGCCCGTGCTGGCTACTGAACATGTGGCCCTGTATGACTATAACCATACTGCAAGATGGGAACTTTCAGTATCACTGCTATCTTATTCACTCTTGTGTTCATGATGATATCCTCATAATGTACCCGGAGTCTGCCAGTGCAGACTACTTATCAACATACCTCTGTATAACTAACCATCCTGTGTGATGGGGATTTTTAGCATCACGTAGCTAGCTTTTTGACACACTGTACTCCCCTTCATATAGTTTAGGGCAGCTGCACAAATGCAGATGTACCTAAATGTGTTAATAAAAAAAATTGTCAGGTGTTGCACATGTGCAAAATGTGACTGTATCACTTGTAGCATGTGTGGAATATGTGGCATTGAATGTGTGAATATGGTATGTGTGGTTTTTTTAGTTTAGTTAATTAATTACACACCACATATATGGGACTGAACAAGACCACAGAGGGACATAATTGGTCCAGCAACTCAGTCCCAGCAATCACTTAGCAAAGTTACAGCACCGATGAGCTGGTTACAAAATTTAACATAAAACAATCTCTTAACCAGTTGATCAAACTAACATCACCGTGACCCCAAGAGGCCGCAACACAGAGTTGGAGCTTGTTAGTTAAACCACTTCCGTTTATAATTTGACGAGCCTACACCCAGCCAGTGGGCAGCGTAGAACGGTTACACTCATTTATTTATTATTTATTTATTTATTCATATATATACAAGAAGGTACATTGGGATTGTGAGGATATATAATATAGTAATTACAATCTTGTAAAGCCACTAGTACGCGCAGCGTTTCGGGCAGGTCCTTAATCTAAGAAAATATCTATATAGATATCTATAGACCTCACCAACAGTTAACAAACTTGGGGGACAATTAGATGAAATCTCTGGTAGTTGATCATGTTGAATTAAATACAAATTTTTTGAACGTTTGTAATATGTTTCTGCATTCTTGGTTTTCCTCAAACTTTATTTTTTTTCTGAAGCGGAGTTGTTGATTTCTGGAAGAAAGTATCGGGTATCATATGGACGTGAATTGACTAGATTATTGCAAGCGTAAGTTTGACATATATATGTAAATATTATGTATATATACACACATATATATAAATAGATGGGGTACCCGGCTGTGTCCGGGTCGACGCCAAAATTGTTCGCCATTAGAACCCCCAGAATATGTGCCTACCATTCAACAATACGGGCTCACCATAGCCCGTGCTACTTGGAACTTTTTGTTACAAGTAGCGAATCTTTAACAACAACAACATACCATTCAACATGCATTCTGGGTTGTCTTCCACTCCAGGACCTGGGCGTGAAGGGTGGGTGTGAACATGGCTTGTTTTCCCAGCCTAAGGGGTAGGTAGGTAGGAGCTTCAACTCACGTGTTACGGAACCAGTATTGTGACTATTTGTGGTTGGTTCAACTTCGAGTAAGTTTATTGAGGTAAAATAATCCTCAAAAGGATTGACTTAGGCTATTTCTACTCTATATTTTGCTACCTGTCTTCAGGCTAGGCTCGTCCAGGCGGCGCCAAAACTCGAAGTCGCATTCATTAATTTTAACCCTTAGACCGCGCAATACATATGATTTGATGATTTGAGTAACAAAACCGGAACCGAGCAATACATTAATAGCTGTTTTAGTGTCTAGCGCTTTAATTTAATACACTGAGTATTCGAAATTTTGTTTTCTCAAGTATAAGGTAATATTACACACTAGAATGAATTACACACTTCGGCCTAACTTAGGTTTGGAGGGTAGGTTTTGCTGGAAATTATTGGCGTTAGCAATACGTGGGTGAAGCATTTCGAGTTTAGAGAGGTGCGATTCGAGCAGAGGTCGTGAGCGAAGCACCCACTGCTCGAGAATTTCGAACATCAGCTGTGAGTCGCGTGTAAAATGTTTTTAATTCATAAACAGATGGTTTTGTGGCTGGATTAACGAACACTTGGCCTTTGTTGATGAGGACGGGTAGCCATTTTGTGGTTTAATTTTCCTCCTAGCTCCTTCCTTTCCACCTGCTCCTTTTCCTTCCCCTCCCTTTAATCTCTACCTCCTTTACCTCACCGTGATCCCTACCACTTTCCCCTCATCGACATCTAAATAAAGATTCCATACAGATCATTCTACTTCAGTTCAATTTCATGCTTCTGATCTCAATTAGTTTAAAAAAAAATTCCCACATCTTCCCTGAAACGCTGTATTGGTGGCTTTAGGCATTGTATATACTAGCTCTATCTAGAAATCCAACATTCTGCTTGTAACTCATTTTGTACATATGTACTTTGACCAAAATAAAGGATTATTATTATTATGGATAATAAACCAGCGGATGATTCACAAGTCAACAGAAATATGAGACAATAGTTTACAAAAGCCACTCAAACACCAGCTTGTTACTATATTTACATGATGAATAATATCTTGCTCAATATCAACAATGAGAAATGTTATTAAATTGAGTGTTGGAACAACAGGTGAAAGATTACATATGCAAGGAAGCGAACGGAAGTAAACAAAAGTCAGCTGGTGCGAGGAGCTGACGTCACGCGCCAGATATGAAGTTCCTTTCTCCACAGGTGCGCCCATGGCGTCCAGTGGTGCCTTGTGGCGTCCAGTGGTGCCTTGTGGCGTCCAGTGGTGCCTCGTGGTGTCTAGTTGTGCCTCGTGGCGTCCAGTGGTGCCTCATGGTGTCCAGTGGTGCCTTGTGGTGTCCAGTGGCGCCTCTTGGCGTCCAGTGGTGCCTCGTGGCATCCAGTGGTGCCTCTTGGCGTCCAATGGTGCCTCGTGGCGTCCAGTGGTGCCTCGTGGCGTCCAGTGGTGCCTCGTGGCGTCCAGTGGTGCCTCGTGGCGTCCAGTGGTGCCTCATGGTGTCCAGTGGTGCCTTGTGGTGTCCAGTGGCGCCTCTTGGCGTCCAGTGGTGCCTCGTGGCATCCAGTGGTGCCTCTTGGCGTCCAATGGTGCCTCGTGGCGTCCAGTGGTGCCTCGTGGCGTCCAGTGGTGCCTCGTGGCGTCCAGTGGTGCCTCGTGGCGTCCAGTGGTGCCTTGTGGCGTCCAGTGGTGCCTTGTGGCGTCCAGTGGTGCCTCATGGTGTCCAGTGGTGCCTTGTGGTGTCCTGTGGTGCCTCTTGGCGTCCAGTGGTGCCTCGTGGCGTCCAGTGGT